TCCAAGTAGCTAGGCTGCCTAATTTCCTCCGGTTCAATTTATCTTTCACTAATTGGCTCATGTGTCATTGTCTTGCTGTCTTGGGGTAAGGAGAAGAATAAATTATTGGGGTGACACCAGTAAAATTAATCTCTTTATTAACAGATGCCTTCTAGATGCTTGGTAAATTCTTAGAAGCAAATCTAAATTTATTCTCAAAATACATTGTTCCTGCAACTTTGTTAATTATCATGTACTATTTTTTTTTAAGTTAACTTCTGCTTAGATAACTTCTCACTAAAAATGACAAAATATTGAAGATGACACATATATGTCATTTATCATAGATGTACAGGTTAAAGATTTGCACATGGACCCTAGCTTCATAATGAAATCCTGATGTGCATGGGTACATGTACATGCCAATTGTTTATGGAATCTTAACAAATTTGGTCTACAAGAAATATGCTTCGAAAAAAATTCTTATATTTTATTGTTCTCGGTTACACACTGATTCAAGAATGTAGATATGAAGTATATGGCATGGTACTACATGGCAGTTGTGGTTTTCTTTACCGAGATATATACTTCAAAATATACAAAGTTAGTTGGAGAGTACAAGTTTTGATTTTCTTGGTTTCACTACCCTTTTCCTGTATATGTTAATGAGGGAATTCTATAGTAATGTTAGTATTTCTTCATTGTTTACCACGAAGTAATATTTGGCGAATATGTCAACGAGTTTTCCTGCAGCCACCTTTGTGTGCTTCTGTTTGGAGGTATGGATGTTTTCTTATTGTCTTTTCTGGATGATATATGTGGTCTTTAGATTTCTTATCATATTTTTTAGTTTTAGTTTCATGACAGCATATCATGTTTATGCTATGAGTAGGTTTTGCCGCAATTTCCTTCTCTATGCAACAAATCATATTTTATTTGTTAATTTGGTGTGCTCTATATTTGTACACAATGGAAATACATATGCATTGATGATATCCTTTGTTGACAATCTTATATTGGCAATAGTGATGCATAACATCATAAAAAATTATCTGTAGACCTGACAACTTGGCATACTACCACTAAATTTGGATCGTGCAGTTCATTTTCTAAGACACAAACCAAAGGGTCTTTAGTACTCAGTATAGACTGATGATTGTGCCAATATTATGGTAATGATATGATTTCATGGCGCAAGTCTTTTAGCCTCATATATGGAGACTCCATTATTCTACGAATCGTATTATAACAACTAAAGTGGGTCAATGTTGGGTCTATAAGTCAAGACAAATCACAAAGTATATTCACTAGAACGGATACCCTCATCTCAATCGGGCGGTAAGCCCCATCTCAATCGGACATGGCGTCCGTCACAGGCTAGAAGTCACTTATGTGAAGAGCTATCTCAATCGGGCAAATGGCCGTCACGGATGATTCTATCTCAATCAGGCCCTAAGTAAAGCCCGTCACCGATAGCTTTGACCCAGACGACCAGTCAAACTATAGCCCGTCACAGATGACCTATCTCAATCGGGCCACAACTAGCGCCTGTCACAGATGACCCTTATCTGTGACGGGCATTAACTTATGCTAGAGTTAATGCCCGTCACATATGAGTATATTCCAAAAATCCAAAAATAAAACCCGTCACAGATGAGTATATTCCAAAAATCCAAAAATAAAACCCGTCACAGATGAGTATATTCCAAAAATAAAACCCGTCACAGATGAGTATATTCCAAAAATAAATAAATTTTATTTTTTGGCTAGCCCTCACTCATGTGCACCCACGCAGGAAGTTCAAACTTCCCAACTTCCCGGTCGGTCACCCATTCCCAACTTCCCGATCGGTCACCCATCCCAAAATTGCTCTAGACCAAGCACACTTAACATCAAAGTTCTTTAGAGATTGGCTTCCGGAAAAGTAATTATAACATGTTGGTATGAGTATTCTATTAATTCTATTATGCCTTAGGCTAGGATGTCAAATTGGGGTTATTAAATGATTTCAAATGGAAAAGTCACCAAAACCAAAGTTGTAGAACTCATCGAGGTGCAAAATTTTTATTTTGGTCATTTCTCCATTTGACTCTATTTAAACAATTTGAAATTTGAAATTCAAAGTTTGAAAAGTTCAAATAGAATTTTAGATCAGTGAACGACTTCAACTGAAAAAGTCATCAACAACAAAGTTGTATAACTCATCAAAATCTATAACTTTTATTTTGGTCAATTTTCTATATAACATTTTTTGAACCATTTGAATTTGAATTTGAAAATATGACAACTTCAAACAACATTTTCAAATACTAAATGATATCAGCTGAAAAAGTCATCAACAAAAAAGTTGAATAACTCATCAAGATCTAAAACTTTTATTTTGGTCATTTCTTCATACGACAAAGTGATAGTAACATTGTTCACAGAATTGACATATCTCTTATCTGGTTTTATAAACTATAACACATATATGTAAAATTTGTGAATAATATTACTAACATTTCGTCAGATGAAGAAATAAAAAAATAAAAGTTATAGATCTTGATGAGTTATTCAACTTTGTTGTTGATGACTTTTTCAATTGAAATCATTTAGTATTTGAAAATGTTGTTTGAAGTTGTCATATTTTTAAATTCAAATTCAAACTGTTCAAAAAAAATGTTATATTGAAAAATGACCAAACTAAAAGTTGTAAATATTGATAAGTTATACAACTTTGTTGTTGACATTTTTTCCATTTGAAATCATTTACTACCCGTAAAATTATTTTGCTATAGTCAACTTACAAATATAAACATTTCATATGAAAAATGGAAAAATAGTCATCGGTGACGGGCTTTAGTTAATGCCCGATAGAGATTAAGTATATAGCCTGTCACTGATGAGTCATCTGTGACGGGCCTAGTTGTTATCTCAAACGGGCCTCAAGTTGGTGCACGTCACAGATGATGGTCATTTGTGACGGGCCACAACTTGAGGCCCGTTTGAGATATGGAATGTTATCTCAAACGGGTCTAAAGTTATGGCCCGTCATTGATAGGTGTCATCCGTGACGGGCTTAAGTTTTATACCCATCTAATATGTCTGTGCGACCATATCTCAATCGAACACTTTTCGGCCCGATTGAGATGACTTCCTTGTGACGGCCCACTATTTCTAAGCATATTAGAGCCCGTCACAGATAGAAGGATCTGTACTAGTGATTGGTCAACTAGCAAAAAAATCTCTCCATTGAAGATTTCAATATTGGTAAGAAATTTAGTGAACCACAATTACTACATTTTTAAATCAGTTCAGACTATATATAACAAGCTAACATTTTTTTCTTCCTCCATAACCATTTCTAAGCTACTAATATTGAATATTTAATGGAACATTGATTCCATAGGTTAACGTTGTTTGCAGGGTGTTCCAATGACACTCAACTATTTACCCGAAAGAATTAAAGCCACAAGTACTTCTAAGTTCTAACATACGCAGTACCATCCTCGCTTGATCTGTTAGTCCATACATAATGACAATACATATGTGCCACCCCAAAGGATCAAAGTCTTCATATCTCTAACTATATTGTGTGATTCTCTTGTGTGACAATACTACATGCACTTCAAACAATTTTAGATGAGACATACCATATGTTCCAACAGGGACGCACTGGGATGTTGTTTTTCTTCTGTACAAGCATTATTCCTGTTTTTGTTTTTTACAACTCTGCGTGGTTTTGGAATTTTCTAATGACCCATCCTTCAGGATTAATTATTTGCTTTGCAAATATGCCTACAGAGTTTTTCATTATAAGCTGACTTCAAGATATGATTTCATTATTTTTTTTGTTTAATTGATTAAATGTTCTGTTTGCCCCTTCTTGGAAGACATAGATATTTCAATACGGTTTTTTTTATGAGTGTTTTGTCCTACCTGTCATATATACTCATCACGTAGAAATATTATGGATGACATCCAAACATTGCCCTTAGACATGATTATGTAAGGGCTACCTAAGTATTCAGTGGCAAGGAGGTACCACTTCATGTACTAAATTGTTGCAAGTACATTATGCGATGTGGTGTTGTTTTTATCAAGCTAAGCACTAAAATTTTCTTTGGGTTGCAGTGCTATATATGTGAAAAGATTCAATTAGTTTAAGATGGAGATATGTATGAGAAAATATTGCAATTCTCTCATCACCTAATGAGTGTCGTTATGGCATTGTTTTTTCTCCAATCAATACCCCCACATTATGTAAGCTCCATTGTCCTCTGTGATTGCTACTTTTCTGTAAATGTGCATGTTTGTACAAACAATTGTATGAGCAAACATATTATATTCACATCTAAATCTTGCTGATATATAGTTGTAATGTGTATTCATATGCAAGTATGCTTCTCACATAATGCGTTTATATAATGTGTGGATATATAATGCTTAAAAGTTACAACTATATATATTGTTGTTTCGATTATGATATCACGTCTTCAAACATTTATTCCCACGCACGCAGCGTAGCGCGTGACTTTTTCCAGTTAGTTTGATGTCCTCTGATATACGACACGAATTTATAGGGGGATTGCAATTTATCTGTCAACTCAATTTAAAGTTGTCAACTTGTCATCATCGCTCCCTACCCCCGACCATAATCTTAGCGAATATAGTCCTACCGAAGTTTGGATGTCACCTGTCTGAGGCTCACCGAGGAAGTCATTGTTGCAAGTGAGTCCTCGACATTAATTTTCCTCTCTTTTACATTAGTTTCAAAGAGAAAAGGACATCTTCCGATCCTCTCTTTCACCATCGGTTGGAGGTGGACGATATATGATACTCATGCGTGTAAGCACATTCATCAGTCAACTGGAATTTAAGGAATTTTAGTTTATTGATGAACAGCAAAGCTGTGGATTATGTGATTTAAATACATTATTATGGTTGGTTTGTTTATTTGTTATACTATGGTGTATACGTTTCCACTGCAGCTGGTACATACATGCACTCTGTAGCCACTGCATCTTAGTACTACGTAGCGCTAAAGAAAACCGCCCACATGTTAATCCACAGTTAATAGTCTGCAGCTAGCATTGATCACTACAAAACCAATTAAGTTGCACATGACCAAAAAAGGCTCAACTAATCAATACAGATGCAACTAATATAATTAATCACCACACAGCCGACCTGGTGATCGATCGATTGAACCCTCACCCTCTCTGCACAGTTGCCACTACAAATTAAGCATAATTAATTAGCTTACAATTACGTACGTACAGCTCTGGATCGATCGATCAGGATCAGCTGAAGAGGTTCAGCAGCGTGGGCGCCCCGGCGCCATCCCCGTCGCTGGCTTCCTCGCACGTCGTCGTCGAGTGCTCGTCCGACGCGCCGCCGCCCCCACCCACCAGCTGCACGGCCGGCGGTGAGACGGGCGTGAGGCAGAGGTCCAGCTCGCAGGACTGGAGCACCGCAGCCACCGCGTGCGGCAGCTGCTGCTGACCGACGCCGGCGCCGGCGCCGTTATTCCTGGGCCGCTTCCTCCGGGGCGCGGCGGAGGCGGAGGAGTTGTCGTTGTCGGGCGAGGAGGAGGAGGTCCCGGCGGCGGCGCCGACGTTGCCGTAGAGGCCGGCCATGTCGCGGTCGGTGAAGGCGGCTGGCACGGCCGAGAGGGCGCGGAGGGAGTCGCCGCGGAGGACGGCGTCGGCGGCGGCCTGGCAGAGGTCCCAGTTGCCCGTCCACATGAGCCCGATGGCGCCGCTCACCGGGTTTATCGTCCGCCCGCACGCCTCGTACAGAAGCGACCGGAACAGCGCTGCATCCATCCATCCAAGCAACACAACTTCACACGTCAATATATTCATCCATTTAAATTTAAATTCAGAGATTAACCACCCAAGTTTCAATCAGGAATTAATATATGCCTAATCTATCAAGTGGTTCCTACTTCACCAATTTCAACCTCATGATTTATCTGGACATCATAAATTGTCTACAAACAATTTATTCAGAGATCAGTTCACAGGAATTAATTCAGTTCAATTTTGATGTATTTGGCAAAAATTCATTTACCTACTTCTAAGAGATTTGCTCTGGTTCAAAAAAAAGTTCCTCGAGATACCGGTACCTCACGGTAGTAAATTGTTTAGCTAGGCAGGATCCAACAAAAATTCATTGGCCTAGAACCAACCATTGGAAGCAATCTAGTACTGTGTAAGTACCGGTACCTCGAGATACTTTTTATTGGACCAGAGCAAATCTCTAATTCTAAAAATAACTTCAGAAATACCGATAATATTAATAAATATGTTTCTGTGTTTGTTTATTGTGTTAATGCAGAGTAATAATCTAGGTTCATTTCAGTGTGAGGATCAAAAGATACCAATTGACCTGATGACAAAAGCCGAAAGCAAACTACGCCAATTGGGCTCTAAACAAACAAAAGAAAGAAACTGTCAACTAAACTAACATATCTCTTGGCACTAGGAGTCTCTGAAGAGGAGTTTAGTTTGGTGAAGTACAGTTGGGGACATGGCTGAAAAAGATTCTCTATTCGGATTGTCCCCTGGAGGCGTCGGAAGGCCGCATAACATCCAAATTAAAAGGGAACACCAAATATATATATATATATATATATATATATATATATAGGACACTCATATGGGGCACCATGGTGCCCGGGCACCATGGTTTCAAATGCACAAAATCACTCAAATTTTTTAAAATTTTCAAATTGTGAGTATATACCTAGTTATAAGAATTCAATTCATACCTATACCTATCAACAAAACAACTCAAATTTAACTTTATTTCACAATCCATGATTACATACCTAACTAATTATATGTATGGATGCTATATACCTAGAATCAAAATCTAACAAAAACAAGTTCAAATTCAGTTCAAACTTGCTTTCAACTAGTTAGTAAAGTAGTTAATATTAATACCTAAATAATTGAAAAAGTTTCATGCTCATTTGAATTGGGTATATACTCAATTTCAACAATGGTGCCCGGGCACCATGGAGCACCAAACAAATTTACTATATATATATATATATATATATATATATATATATATATATATATATATATATAAGTACTGGTATCACGACTCCATCTTTGGTGTTAGGTCAGCTCTAGTAGTCACAAGTCTTTCTGCACTAATTGTTCATCTAGATAAAACCTGAGAAAATATTTTTTTCTAGTTAATTTCTAGCCTTTTTCCTTAACAAGTGGAGTAATTTACTGCAACTACTACATGATAGAGGTGTACTAATTGTGACCGATGAACAAGCCCGGCCTCTAAGCTAATTATAAGCAACGACTTAATTAGAGCTAGTAAACCGAGAACTTGCACTGTATTTCCAAACACAGTAATTGACAGCTTAACTGTGATTGATTGTCTGGACTGTTTTCAGAAACCGATATCTGAGAATTGCTTAAATTACAAAGTACACAACGAACATTAGATTTGTAACCTCGTAATTTACCACTACTGTACCTAGTTAAGTTTGCGGACACAATAATTAGCTCGAAATGGAGGCAAGAAATTAAGAGTTAAGGTAGGCCTTAATTAAGGGGAGATGAGGAGCGATGGAATCGATCGAAGGGTATATACCTGGACGATGGTGGAGAGGGACGGCGGCGAGGGAGGCGACGAGGCCGGCGCGGCCGAAGAACTTGGCGACGAAGACGGTGGCGTTGGCCTGCGGCTGCGCGCCGTCGATCCACTCGATGCTCGGCCGCAGCACGCACGCGTCGCTGCACCCCTTCCGCAGCACGCGGCACCCGTTGCAGCTCATCTCTCTCTATCTCTCGCAATATAATACCCAATACCCAGCTACCTAGCTAGCTCACTCTCAGTTACAAAAGCTTAGCTAGCTAGCAACTTGGATCGCGCGCGGCCGGCCACAGCTGAGCTGGTGATGAGAAGACGGGGGCCGAGCTGAAGCTGAGAACAAATGTCCAATGATCGATCGCGCGAGCGGGGGCGAGGAGGTTATATAGGGAGGAGGAGAGGGAGACCGAGGCGGCCGTTGTAAGTGTGTCGTCTCGTCGTCCCGAATGGATCTATCTATCTCTCTCTCCTCTTCCCGGGGGATGCCGATGCGATGCGCGGCAGCGTGTGGTTGGTTGGTGCTCCGTTCCATCCCGGGCCACTGGGTGTTCCAATTACATGGGCCGCTGGCGCCTCCGTGTTGCCGCAACGCAATGCCCCTTCCCCCGCTTTGTTTTTTTTTTCACCTCCGCCGGATCCTCTACGCGTGTTACCACCTTATTACCGTGAATGTGGCGTCGCCAAATCAGCAACTGCAGGTGTCGATATACATGACTCTTGTCAACTTTACCACCTCCAAATGTGATGTGGGTTTCCGTGTCCAATGTTTAACTGTCCGTCTTATTTGAAAAAAAATATGAAACCCAGAACTACACTTATATCGGAATGGAGGTAGTACTAATCAAACATCGAAAATACTTTACGTCGGGCGACCGGCGCGGGGGGAGCCGGATCGGGCGCTCCCCCGCGCGCCCCTCCCCCCACGTGCGTATTGTTGGGCCCACCCACTTCTTCTTTTTTTTCACAAAAGATGTTTCACCTAGTGTACTTATAATGTTTTACTATTTATAGATCTAATGTTGCAATGAATTAAAATACTTTTTTGCAAAAAAAAACCCACATATTTTAAAAACTCTCTATTAAGGGAATTTGGTTTATTTTTTATTCTACCGAAAAATGTTTCACCTAGTGTACTCACAATGTTTCACCTAGTATACTCACAATATTTTACTATGTATAGATCTAATGTTACAGTGAACTGAAATATTATTTCGCTATTTGCTGAAACATTGTTTTTATATGAGGTGAAACAACACCCAATTTAAACGAGTGAAACATTTTCGATCTACTTAGTGAAACAATTCCGATATATCTGGTGAAACATCGTGCAATATTTAAAAATAATTCAATAATAAGCTAATTTTTTTCATCGGAATATATCCATGTGTGGTCTTATTTTGAAGATTTAATTGCAACGAATTTAATGGTGCAATTGGATCATGATTTTGATAAGTAATTGAAGAGAAAATTCAGTTTAAAGTAGTTTTGCACGTAAATCGGACGCTGACATCATGTTGACGTCAGCGCCCGATTTTACCCCCTCCCGATCGGGTGCCCGACCGGGAGTCGTCTCCATCAAACATTGTCCATCATATCAGTGGCATTACCGCTGATTTACCATCTCAACCAAATTTTGGTTGTCTAATTAAGAATGGGTTGTATCGGTTGTACCTGATTTGTATATATATATATATATATATATATATATATATATAACACATTACAAATACACATATATATATGTGCGTGTGTTTATTTGTAATGTGTTATATTTTTTTTCTATCGGGATGTAAGTTGTAATTTTATTTTCTATTTGTACTGTGAGGAGCAATTCAATTTAGATTTTTTTCTCAAGGAAATATAATGATAGAGGACTATATTTATTAAAAGAAAATTAGATAGTAGATTTTGCTATCACTATTAACAAAATTATCCTTCCTTTCCTCAATGACTTCATGCCCTACTTACTATTTGTGCTTTTTTAAATCTATAAAATGAGCTACATAAATATTAACCATAAAGAATAAGTTTTTTCTAAGAGTAATGAAAAGGAGGCAATATGGATTATTGAAATGGAGAGTTAAGTCAGTTATGGAGTTACTTTTTATCGCAGCAGCAACTTTTAGATTAGGAAATTTGATTCACATATATATCTTCTCGCAATTTAATTTTGTATGTCGATCAATATATAGCTTATAAAGAAAACATGATGTGTGGCATTTCTAGTGAGAATTGTTCTAGCTATTTCATGATGGATAGGATCGAGATATTTCAATTAGCTTCCTTTAAACCACATAACTATGTCATCTAATATATCACAATTAAACGTTTTTAATTAATGCATAGAACCGTTCCATAATTCCAAAAAGAACACTAACCATGTATTGTATTTTTTTTTTCAGTTTTCTTGTACAGGAGCACTACCTAAGTAGTTTTTCAATGTGGGTTTCTTTTGCTTAAACCATGGGTTTTAGGCAGTATATGTATCACACAAAAACCATAACAAACACAAGGTAGTGTGGTGTGGGAGCAGAGGATCCGGGAAGCAAGCAGCGGCCCCCCCAATTCGGATGTTGGCATTAATTAAAGCCATGGAAGCAGGGTTGTGGATAGGAAGGAAGCAAAGCAAGCAGAAAGAAGCAGAGAGAGAGGGGGAAGGAGGGCAGGAAAGAAAGCAGCTTCCCCGGGTCGGGGGCCACCACCAGTACCTTGACTCCGCCCTTTCGCTCCCGCCAAGAGCTGAGGCCGCTTCGCTTCTTGTTGTACCCCACCTCTAGCTAGTCGTTGTTAGCTTCTCCAACATCTCAGGCAGAGGCAGCCAAAGCCAAGCCAAACCCAACCCCAAAAGCTCCTCCTCACGAACCTGGCCCTTCGGCTTACCTCTGATGCATCACCCAATTAAGTGAGTCATATACATTCTCTGCTGCTGTAGCTAGTGTACGTGGCTGGCTCATGGCTCTCCCGTCCCTTTCGCTCTCTCCTCTCTCCCGTGTTTCTGGCGCAGGTGCCTGCTGCAACTTGAGCGTTCTCATATATTTAAGGCGTAGGAGGAGTACGTATATACTCGCGTGCTGATCGCTCGCTTTCGGCTGCCTGCCTGTTTCGGTATACTACATGTTTATTGTTATGGCCAAGTGGGAGCGGCAATTGTTTGTTTTAATTTGTTTTCAAGTACTAGCTACGTGCTGATTCAGATCATGGCTTTTTTTAGTTGGTTCCTTTTTTGGTGAGGGGGAGAGGCCGGGCGAGGCGAGGGTGCGTTGGATGGTGTGGCTGCGGTTGCTCGTGGTGGACGGCCGGAGTGCGGCGTGACGTACGTACGCCGCCGGGCACCGGAATATATATCGATTGCTACTAGTAGCTAGCTAGCTTCTCCCACTTTCGACCAAGATCGTGCCGCCGCAAGCAATATCTGATTCTCGTGAGAATTTTCAGAATATGCCACACAATTTGCACCACCTTCAGGATTAACCACTCAATTCGTAACACTTTCAGAGCATGACACCAAGCACACGAATTGTTTTATTCCGTGACACTTCCGTCCTTCCGAAGCAGAGCCCCATCGGCCGTCCATATTGCACCGTCCGTTGCGTCATCTTGCCGCCGCCGGCGTGGGGAAGGAGGAGCTTGGCCGGCGTTGGGGAGCTCGCTAGCATGTGCGGAAGAGAACATTGCCGACGGGGAGGAGGAGCTCCGCCGACGCGGGAGGAAGAGCTCGCCCACATGTGCGGGGAAGAAGTTTGCCGGCCTGGGGAGGAGGGGAGGAGGAGCTCCACCGGGGAGGAGTAGCCGCCGGCATGGGGAGGAATAAGAACTCGCCGGCGTGGGAGGAGTAGCCGCCGGTGTGGGAAGGAAGAAGAGCTCCCCAGGCGTGGGGAAGAAGAGCTCCCCGGCGTTGGGGAGGAGGAAGAGCTCCCTGGCGTGGGAGGAGTAGCCGCCAGCGTGGGGAGGAAGAAGAGCTCCCTAGGCGTGGGGAGGAAGAGCTCCCCGACGTTGGGGAGGAGGAGCCGCGGCCGTTGGGGAGGAGGAGCCGCCGTCGGAGGAAGAAGAACTCGCCGGCGTGGGGGAGGAACTCGTTGGCGGCGCCCAGATGACTCGGACGGAAGTCTTGACGCGGGCGGGCGATGGTACTCTGCTTCGGAAGGACGGAGTGTCACGGAATGAAACAATTCGCGTGTTCAGTGGCAAATTTTGAAAGGGTTACGAATTGAGTGGTTAATCCTGAAGGTGGTACGAATTGAGTGGTCTATTCTGAAAATTCTCGATTCTCGTTCTCCGGTTCGCGCTCTATGTACAGGAGAAATTAACCTTCAGCCATACAATCATGCATCGTCCCCCTTCTCCAGGTCGCGCATCTCTCTCTCTATATATATATAGATACGCGCGCGGCCCATCATAATTTTTTTGCCCGCGGTTCGAGTGGTTGTTAAAATTTTTTTTTCCAACAATTACACAATATATACACTACTAATTGCCAACCGGGGATGAAATTAGGATTTCAAACCAGGCGATGCCGATCGAGATTCCTTTTAGGGATTCATCGAGCGACATGGTTGAGTCTCGGGGATTCGGTGAGACGGCGACACCGCGACGAAGACGCGATCGGCTTTCACCGCATTGCCTGTTGGCGGGGCGTGTTGCCCACCCATTTGCTAAGCGATAAAGCGAGGCATCTCATATATGCCACAAAGAAATCAATGAGGCGAGCAATCAAACTCGAAACATATACTCCCTCTGTCATTAAATATAAAAAATTTTGGTTAGACGTATAAGTTTTATTGGCTTGTGAGTTATACAACTATCTCATTTTGGACTACTAGCAGAGTAATATTGGCTCTGTTCGGCAGCCATACTAGCTGCAGCAGCTGCGGCGCTGCATCACAAATTCGCTGCAAGCTGCAGCGATTCTTAACTACTGTAGTTGCAGCTACAAAAATACTAGCCGAACACACCCACAAGTATTAGGCTCCTACAAGAATAAGAGTCTCTTAGCCGACTTTGATAAGTGCCAGGCCCACTCTACACCCTATCTTCGCTCTTTTTTTTTTTTTTTTTTTGGCAAATTTTACTATAGGACACTACGATTTCGTGGTTTTAGTCATGAGACACCGTCCAAACTCACTTTTAGGGAAAAACACTCCATAAACATGGTAATTTACCAATGGACACCGTGCCGATTAAAATGATGATTTCCGGTTGAGGAGGAGAGAGAAATCACGTGAAATGTCAAAAATACCCTTGGGCCCACATGTCAGCTCTCCATCTCTCTCTCCCCCTCCTCTCTCTTCTCCCGGTCACGGCTTGCTCAGGCGGCGGCGGCGACGCCCAGAGCGCGCGGCCTACTCGGTGGCCGAGGCACTGCTTCTCGCGGAGGTGCTTTGGAGTTGCGGCGGTGATCCACTCCAAGATCCGTCGCCGCGCCGTGTGGTGGCCAGGAGGCAGGGTGGGCGCCGGCGCCACGAGGCCGCCACGGTGTCGACGCGGGAGCGGGAGGGGTGGTGCCATCACCGGAGCTTCGCGCCG